CAACCGGTAATTGGGGACTATTTCACCCCCTACTACTAGCATACAATCAACAAATATAAACATATAGTAAGGTATATCTGGGTACTGACCTCCCCTTGGGTCCTAAGGACCACTGTCAGGGAAACTAATCCCTACCATACACATAACATACTACTCAGATAAACTTCATAACCAACACATAACCAGGCCAAGATAATTATCACAGAGACCATTATCTTCTAAATACCCCTTTTAGGTGGATCGACATTGTGGCCTTAGACCCGCCCCTACTGGAAGGTAACTCACCTCAATGTCGTGCAGTGTCTGAACTATCCTCGGCACACAAGTCGACTCCTTACGACTCCTTAATCCCTACACGACAACCCTCAAGTCAACACATATCACATACAACCATAAACAGGGTCAGTCCAAGTTCAGTCAAGGTCAACATTAGTCAAAGTTAACATTCAGTTGACCTAACTCACCGAGTTGGCCTACCAACTCGTTGAGTCCATGCTTCTCTCCCACACAAAACCCCGACTCCACTCGTCGAGTCTAGCAAAAACTCAACGGGTTCTCCTTCAATCATAACATCGGGACCATCTTCATCTGACTCGCCAAGTTCCTTCTTGAACTCGTCGAGTTCATCTCCAACTTAAGAACTTGTCCAGTCTATGACTCGCTGATTTGTATGAACAACTCATCGAGTCCATCTTTAAAGATTGGGAGATTGTTATGGACTTGCCGAGTCTCATGGCTTCCAGGTCCCTTTTCGCATCTAAACCCACAAGGGACTTCTTTCCTAACACTTACCTATTCACCGAAAGGGTTTGGTGCACAATGGTTACCGACTCGTCGAGTGCCAAGAACAACTCACCGAGTCCAACCTTGACTAATTCCATACAATTGATTTAAATGAGGTCTAACACACCAAAACCATAGATCTGGCCTCCTAATGTCCATTCTATACGTAAAGTTCCAAACTTGATGCACATGCATGGGCAGGGCCGGTTCATTGTTTTTTACTACCCGGGGTGAAACAAAATTTTTATGCCCTTGTATATGTACCGTACGATAAAGAAAACATATATTTACAAAATTTATAAAAACAAAAATGCAGTAACTTTTATAACCAAACAAATAATACAAACAAAACCTACAAAAATCACGTAAATGATGTTTTTGTTCATTTTATGAATCAAAATTTTTTTTATTTTGCAATAGTTAATATTTTAAGAAAATCACTTTCAATACTTAAAATTGATAATACATTGAATCTTTTTAGTCATCGTACTTCGGATATATGATTTCAAAAGCTTCAAATTTTAGCACATGATGGTTGGTTGTTTTCGGGGAAACGTATTAAAAACTTAACAAATCTAGTTATAAAAGCTAAATAATTAAAGATACAACATGACTAAATTTTATGAAATAAGGCCTCTAGAAATTAGATCTTTGATTAGAAATGATCTTTAACGACAAAATCATAAATATAGCTCCTGTTTCACATAACATACACAACAACACAAAAGTTTAGAAATAATATTTAGACAACAAATATTGAACATAAACATATTACAAAATTAAACTCACCAAAATCTAAAATCTGGTTACTGACAGTGTATATACAAATTTGATTGTTGAAACAATAGAATAATCAAATACAAATCCAATGAAGAGCTCAAACTAAGAGAAATTAGTAGATAAAGCACCCAAATCTGATTTCAGAAACACTAGACTAATCACATACAAAAAAAAAAACAATAACTATAAATCTGAGAGAAGAGATCATATATATAAGAAATAAATAAGACTTCTGAAGCAAAACTACATTAAAACAAATTTGGAGATTAAAACCTACATAAATATAATTTCTGAAATAACAATATTGAGCACAAACACAATTAGTGAAGTCGGATTTGGTTTTCTAAAAAACTAAAACAGCCAAGTAACCAACTAGTTTCCAATGATTTCTGAAACAAAAATATGATTTCTGAATCATCAAATTTCGAATGAATGATTGACTCTTTCAGATGTTGATTATTTTTTCCCTGTAATGAAGTTGAGAAAAAAATCAGCTGAAGTAGATTTAAAAAAAAAAAAAAAAAAAAAAAAAAAAAAAAAAAAAACACAAGTTTCGAATGAACTCACCCATATAGGATTTCTAAGCAACTAAAAAGAAAGAAGTCACACCCAAATCAGTAAATAACTAAATCAGAAATTCATAATCAATGTTTGGCGTATCACATTAGAGAAAATCGGACTGGAATCACACCCAAATCAAAATAACTTTTTGCTATATAATATCGATGTTAACTGCCTATTGTAATGAGAAAAAAGAGAAACTTGTTCTTACTTTTTTTTATGGGAGTTGTATTCAATGTAGCATTGATTTCTCCCATGGACTGCAACGCCAACGAGTTTCTAGGCAAATACGTTTGGTTTCTCTATGAGTTGATGATCGATGGATGACAATTGTGCGTCTAACGCCTTTCCAACTTCACGTTGTAAGCCGATAACAAATATGTGGGCTAGGTTTTGCGTAATTATTATATATACTCTGGATTATTTTGATGCCCTTAATAATTTGATGCCCTGGGCTTAAGCCCAAGCCGCCCATGTATAGGGCCGACCCTGTGCATGGGGTTTTTAGCTCAAAAATCCATATAAAGTGTCCTACAATGTGCATGGGGCTCTCATGGCCCTAAAGTTGGCACCTTTATGCCATGGGACCCCTCTTAAGGCCTAGATCTGAAGTCAAAACTCACTCAACACTTCCAAATCCGGAAAATGACTTAGAATCCATGGTGATCCCAAGTTAAAGATGAATAAACACATAGATGAGTCAATACAGCGACATTATACCTTGAAGCTGCTGAAAATGAAGTAAGATCTCCGGATCTACAAGCCCCAACTCGATTTCCAAGCTCCTTTCTTCCTTCCAAGCTTTACAATCCACACAAGAACACCAAAATGGCCTTAACTCACACACAAACAGCTAGGGTTCGATATGAAGCTTTCAAGAGAGTGTTAGGGACAAGGGAGGCCGAGTTAAGTTGTGTATATAGGGTGCAAACCCTCAGATTTAGGGTTTCACTTATCCAGCACCTACTCGCCGAGTCAGTCTCCCAACTCTTCGAGTCGGTCACGTAAAATGCCTGCAGCCACGTCCCTACTCGACGACTTGATCCTCCAACTCGTCGAGTCCCAGAGAAAAACATACCAGGTGTTACATAATCCTTGTTACATATGTAGTTGTGAGACACTTGATGTCATGATATGCTAGAATAGTAAGGTCTTGCTTGTTTTCTTTGGATGATACTATTATGTATCATGACTGGATAAGGCGATGGTAGTTATGGTAGATCGTTGAGTGGATACTCTAGGGTTTGTATATGGTGTCAATGAGATAACATGAGAACTCTTTGTCTAAAACTTATTGCATGGTTCTTGTTTGATTTATTGCTTTCGGGTAGGATTATTTGTTTAACTGTCTGTGTAATTCCCAACCATGTATGACTACGTATTCATAAGGCGATGATCAATATTAGTATTGGCTTGGGTATGAATATTGTACGACTGGGAACTGATGGTTATGTGGCGGTTAGGAGCCGGTGGTAATTGGTGGATGAGAGTCAATAATGATATGATGGTAAAGTGCCAACGATTGATACGTATGGTTATTATGTATGTTTATTAGTTTGTTGTGTTTGGCCTGCTGGGTTGGATTTGTTATTGCTTGTATGCATTGTATGTATGGTAAAATATGTGGTATAGTATGAAATTCACTAAGGTTTTATGCATATATTTGTGGATTTAACGTTTTCAGGTTGTTCATGGGAAGGGACCGACATGACTTTATAATTGCATCGAAGCTACATGGTTTTCGTTTGTTTTGAAATTTAACTTTGTTTAACTTTATGGTGTTCAATTAATTGAATGATACATTATGTTTATAGAAAAAGGCTTTAAATGTCTAATATATTTTGAATGAAAATTTTGATTTGAAATTGGGACGTTACAAGCAGCCTCTTAGCGGACGAAAACTAACGATAAGAACAACAAAGAACAATTCATCCAAGTTTTGGAAACTACATGGATTATGGTCATCCAAAAAATTAGCAACGACTAAGTTTGTGATATTTGATAAACCTATGTAAATTATTCTAATAATAATAATATTTAAGTCAAGCTTTTGAACACATTGATTTTATTTTATTTATTTATTTATATATAAAGGACCTTGATTATTATGTTATGTTTTTTTGGTATTTTAGCGTGAGCTAAAATTATAAAGGTATTAGTTTGTGGGACGGAGTTATTATTTGCAAATCCTCAATAACCGAGGGACGATTTCTGTATCTTTGTAACTTTGTCTATTTAAAGTCTCCGAGCACCGCCTCTCCCTGTTCAATCATTTTCTCTCTCTTGCTATCACTCGTCTGATTCGCTCTTTTAACATTTCAAAAAGTTACACACAGATAAACAAAAGGACGAAAGCCAAAAGGAAAACGCGTATCAACTGGTTAAAGATCCGCATCATCATCGTCGTCGTCATTCTCTAAAACGGAAGATATTGATAGTATGGGCATTGATATTGATTTCGATTTGCCTTTGACAGCAATAATTCCCCATTTTTCATGATCCTGTTGGTCTGAACTATCCTTCGCGATCAACAAATTCTGGATTACATTTCCTCATATGTAAGTGGTATACTCACCCTCACTGTTTCGTTTCCCGATTAAACGACATTTTCATTTGTTCATAGAGTCTGAGTGGAGTGATGGAAAGAGAAGAACTAAGATAGATTTGAAATTTTAACGTCTCGTGATTCAAAATCAGTTGATTTTCGCGGTAAACAAACCAGATTTTGTTGGTGCGGTATATTAACGATGTGTTGATCCATACTAATATTTGAGTTTATTCTTAATAACGTTAATTGCTTCCTTTGAAACTGCAGAATCTGAATTTGAGAAGCGGAAGTCGAGTTGTGCATCTGTTACTGTTACTTTATAGAAAGAATGGGGAAAACTGGAAGAGATTGGACTCAGATCTACGCAATCTACGGCATGGATGATTGGCAAACACCGGTGTTCCTCTTAATCCACGCGATCTTCTTCTCAGCGTCATCAGTCCTGTTTCTCATCTACTTTGATTGGATCTGTTCCTCCTTCGAGTCGATTCTCCCCGCCGTTTTTTCTACCGGTTTCGCTAGATTCGCTGCCGGTTTCACCGGCTCCGTTACGGCACTCTCCGGCGTATGCCTTTTTTACGCAGCCGGCAACATTTTTTACTCCTCCGTCGCACTTCGCTGGGACATGGCTCAGCGTATGGTCGGTGCTGTACACGACTGGTCCACCGTGAAAACAGCCCTAGACGTAGGATGCGGCCGCGGCATCCTTCTAAACACCGTCGCCATGCAACTCAAAAAAGAAGGAAGCTCAGGCCGAGTCGTCGGGTTAGATCGCAAGAACACGACGTTATCCACTCTCAGAACAGCCGGGATGGAAGGCGTCCAGGAGTACGTCACCTGTCGAGAGGGAGACGCGCGTAGGCTCCCGTTCCCGGACAATTACTTCGACGTAGTGGTGTCAGCCGGGTTTCTCCACACCGTCGGGAAGGAATTCGGTCAGAAAACAGCGGCGGCGGCGGCGGAACGGATGAGGGTACTCGGGGAAGTTGTCCGGGTGCTTAAAGGCGGTGAGATTGGAGTGATATGGGACCTGATCCACGTGCCGGAGTACGTTCAGCGGTTACAAGAATTGAAGATGGAAGACATTCGGGTCTCTGAGCGTGTAACTGCCTTCATGGTGAGCAGCCACATCGTATCATTTCGCAAGCCATGTCAGCACGTTGTGGGTCCCAGTGAAGTTAGATTAGACTGGAGATTCAACAATATATGTTGAAATTATTTATTTATATATTAAAAAATATTATATCCTACATTAAGGTCAGATCTCGTAATAACGAGTTCAAACGCAACTCGGTTAATTGTTTATAAACGAGATCATATTAAAATTTTAATTCAAGGCTTTTATATTCTCCTTCAAGAATTTATATGTATATATATACATAACGTGTATAGCTCGTAATACGAATATAAGAGAATATTTAGGTTAAATAAATAATAAAACGTTATCATTAAAAAGAATATTTTGTAGTTATTAACCTATGCTTACTATGTAATCTGCTAATTTATTAGGGGAAATGAATTCAATCGGACATATTTATGTCTGTATTAGCAGGACACTTATGATCGAACATGCTCACTATATTTCCAACATTGTTCTAGATTAATAACAGCTTTTTTCTCGTCATGGAAAAGAAATAACAAAAAAATAATAATTATACTGTATTTTTTTCTTTTTCCAATATACGAAGCTATTATATTATTGGAATGCAAAAGAAATCGTTTCCTACCACGTTGATTAACACGATTATTTTTCATAAAAAATAGGAAAATATATTCTTTGAAATGCAAGTAATGTTAGGTGAAGAATTTAATGTGGGATGTTAGGTCAATTGCTAGGACCATTTGATAGATGACCTAGTACCCAATGAGATTTTGGTGGGGTTTAATTTTCAATTTCCCTTCATTTATTTCTTCTAAAATATGAACCCACCAATTATAAAAAAAATTGTAAGATTACATTCGAAGTTAAGTTTATGTTTGTATCAAACAAATTTAATAATTAACAATTTTAATTGTAAGACCATCTTATTGGATCATTTTACACATGAACTGATATTCTTTGTATCAAACCTCTCACCGATGATCTTGAATAACGTGCTCAAATTCTGATTGGGTTATAGTTTATGTTTTAATCTTGATGACACAACACTTAATAGCATTAAATACAATGAAAGTTATGGAATCAAATGAAACGAGAGTGTGTCAGATTGTGAAGTGAAGTGTTGGAATTGAAGCATGTGTCACTCATGTGACTACAATTTAATGAACTCTCAAGGATGCACTCAAGTCTCAACTTTTGCTTTGTCTCGCATCAAAATTCTCGAAATTATAAATATTTTAGTAATCATTTTGTAGCGTAAATACGAAGGATAGGTACGATTTGATTATTCCATTTATTTATATAAAATTTGTTAAAGATGATGAGTGTATTTAAATGTTTATAAAAAGATGTTAATAAGACACTTTATTGATATTTCTTTAAAAAGTAAATTAATAATTAATTGTTTGCAATCAGTTTTTTCGGAAAATAATACATTTTCAACCAATAAAAATATTTAAAAAATTAATAAGGGTGTCCATATTGTTTTTTTTTTTGAACGGTATGTTCATATTGTAATATGAGATGTCTTTTTAGTCAACTCCTATATTTCCTCCATCTCATATTAATAGTTTGTGTTTTTTTTTTTTTTTTTTGGTTTTTCTAAAATAATATCCTATTTTTAAGAATAAATATATTTTATCAAAATACTCTTCATTATTATTATTATTATTATTATTATTATTATTATTATTATTATTATTATTATGATATTTTTGTAGGAGTGAATTGTTTACCTATTGCATTTCTTTAAATGAAATATTAACTGTTTTAGTTATCATCATACAACGAATGAGAAGACAAACAGGTAACAAGTTGCGCCGTTAAACCCTTTTGTATGGTAAAATCAATTCTTTTGAAGACTACATCCATAGATATAGGGGATATAACATGGCTATGCATGATTTGTTGTAGTCTACTAAGAAGCTCCACCGCATTCGGCGCAAGGAAACCAAACGTATCAAATGCAAATGGTATGAACATGTGTTGATTTTCCATGTACGGTTTCTCATGTTTGGTGACCTTGCAAGTAGCAGCTTTTAATGCAATCTGTCCCGCCGTGAAACCCCTAACCCTCAAACTTACGAGAGGAGATACCCATGTAAGGTCCACACATGCATGTTTCCCTCCAACCCATCCAAATATCATACATCAGCCGATCTAAGGGTTAACCTTCCTTCTGTCCGGTCAATCAGGAAATTCACAGGAGCCTCTTTCTTGGCGGAAACCCTGGCACGCTTACATATGTCGACCAAAACATCCCTAACCATATCGTGTCTGTATTTGAACCCCGAGAATTCTTTGCAATGAACTGCATGCTCGCCAAAAGAGTCAAAACATGCCTTGCGGCACACCGGACATATCCCATCGGCTGGGAAAATTGGAATCATGAGTCGATATCTGAGGATGGTACGATACTACACCAGAGACATATGTTAGCCAAGCCCATCTATAGGGTAGCTAGAAGAAAATCTTAAGCATGTGGTGCACGTAAACACTAGAAAACTGCTTTCTGCCGAGCCGTCATATTAAAATTCATTTCCATATCTTGGATAATTTTACTAAAAAGGGCACTCGCTAGTGTATTCTGGGATTTAGGGGGTGTCCTTAGTAGTAAAATTGCTAAGGTCAATGTCCGGAAGCTTGTTACGAAGAGAATTTAAGGCACAAGCATAATCAGAATCCATACCATAAATGCCTCTATCCCGTAAGATGTGGTCTTGCAATACCCAAGCTTGGGCCCTTGAGGCAACAAAAGCATATGAGGTAGCCTCTACTGTCGAGTATAAACCTAAACCACTGTTGAATCATTAAAAGTGACCCTCTTGAACTTCTCCCTACCGCAGTCAGCACCGTAGCCGCAACCCAGATTCTCTACTTCAGCCATCCGCAACCGAAGTCCAAGGATCAGCAGTCTTGATTTTGTACTTAGTCTTTTTTGTCTTATCACTTTTATCTTTATTGTCCAGTAGACCTTGCATGGCTACTCATAGAGAACTTATGTTGTAACGCTTACGTCGCTATAAATAGAGACCATTCTCTTTGTATCAAATACGCATCTTGACTCTAATACATATTCTCTGGATTTATCCTTTCTATCTCATTCTTACTAAGCCATACTACTTACTGTTACATAGCAGATTACAATCACTCTTCGGAGCAAGTCCTTGTGACTTAATCACTAAGTTTGATCTCACTCACTAACATTGGTTTGAATGCATTCCATGTTATGAATCAACTTATGTGTATACTTGATATAACAATTGTTGTCATTTACTTTTCTTTACTTTCCGCATCTAACTATCTAACCTTCTAACAATCTAACATAATATTATTTTTTAGCTTATAGATCCTCTGAGATTAACTATTCCGCTAAATACTTGTTCTAACTTTTGTTCAAGTGTGTCTCAAAGTTTTTCTCTTAACAATTGGTATCAGAGCCATAGTGGTTGCTTTTTGAGTATCGGAACTCTGATTCTTCAAAAAGGCCTTCTATACCACTGAAGCTCTACTTCAAAATGGCATAAGCTTTTTCGTTGAATGTTTCCAACTGTGTTGGTGGTTCAAATCGAGCCCCAATATTGGTTGCAAATGAATATCATCACTGGCCACAAAGAATGGAAAGGTACTTATGAAGACTTGGAAGAGACGTATGGCGATCTGTTGAAGAAGGACCACATGTTCCGGTTCTTACAGCTGCTCAAACCGACGGCGCCACTGTCAGACTAGGAGGAGGTCAACCAGTCATGAACCGTCCCACAAAGGATGATCTTGACAAAATGGAAAACGATGCAATAGCCTTTTATGAGATATCGTGTGGAGTTGCCCCTGACAACTTCGATATCATCATAAATTGCAAATCCGCAAAAGAAATCTGGGAAGTACTCAAGAATCTGTACGAGGGAACCGAACAAGCTCAAGACAAAAAGCTTACTACTGCACTCAATGAGTTCAACAACTTTAAAGCTCATGCGGGTGAAAGCTTAGAAGACTCTTTCAAAAGATTCAACCTGTATGTGGATGATATCATCTTCGGGTCCACATATCAGAGGATGGTGGATGATTTTTCTAGGCTCATGACCAACAAATTTCAGATGAGCATGAATAGAGAGATTAACTTCTTTCTAGGACTCCAAGTTAAACAGATTCCTTAAGGAATCTTCATCCATCAAGAAAAGTATACCTCTAAGCTGCTGAAGAAATACTCAATGGATAACTGCTCTTCAGCTAAGGTACCCATGGCATTTGGCTATAAGATCTCTAATGACCCCTCCGGAGAACTTTTTGATCACAAGATCTATAGAGGCCTTATTGGGTCTCTCATGTATCTCACTGCTAGTCGACCGGATATAGTGTTTGCAACGGGTGTATGTGCAAGGTATCAGGCTAATCCAAAAATGTCTCACATGACCGCAGCCAAACAAATTCTTCGATACCTAAAAGGAAGCAAGTCTCTTGGCCTATGGTATCCTGCAGGCAATGCCTTTAATCTTCAAGCGTTTACTGATGCTGATCATGCTGGCTGCAAGCTGGATCGGAAAAGCACCTCTGGTGGATGTCAATTCTTGGGTGGAAGATTAGTCAGCTGGTCCTCAAGAAAACAAAGTTGTGTGTCATTGTCTACTGCAGAAGCTAAATACATGGTTGCTGCTAGCTGTTGCTCTCAAGTGTTATGGATGAAAACACAACTACTAGACTACGGGTACAGAATGTTGCGGATACCAATCTACTGCGACTCTGAGAGTGCCATAGCGATTTCTCACAATCCTATACATCACTCAAAGACCAAGCATATTGAACTTCGGTATCACTTCATCAAAGACCACATTCTGAAAGGTAACATTGAACTCATCTTTGTCCCTACACATGAAGAGATTGCTGATGTGTTTACAAAAGCACTTGACTCTACCAAACTCAATGCATTCTTACAAATGTTAGGAATGATGAATCCGAACCCTCAGTTCTTCCAAAATTGATAAGCCACCGCAGACCATTCATGGTATCCATTGCGGTTCTAAATGAAAGATATTTATAATAAATGGTTTTGGTATATCCTGTGCACTGCAGTCATATACCGCAGCCATATATTATATTTACCTCTCATTGGTCTTTTG